CACTTCTTAATGGCCTCCTAGACTTAGAGAGTTTCTTCACCTAGAGTCTGTGAACTTTTCTTTTAATATTTTGATAATTGTGTTTTTTCCACTTAATAGTATTTTGGTTTTTTTCCAATTACATGTAAAGATAGTTTTCAACATTCATTTTTATATGATTTTGAGTTCCAAATTTTTCTCCTTCCCTCTCTCCTCTTCCTCCTTCACAAGACAGCAAGCAATCTGGTATAGGTTATACATGTACAATCATATTAAATATGTTTCCACCTTAGTCAAATTGTGGAAAAAAAAGAATCACAACAAAAGGGAAAAGCAGGAGAAAGAAAAAACAAAAAAAGTGAAAGTAGTGTGCTTCTTTTTGCATTCAAACTGCATTGTTCTTGCTCTGGCTGTCAATAGCATTTTCCATCATGAGTCATTTGGAATTGTCTTGGATTGTTGTATTACTGAAAAGAGCTTAAGTCTATCATAGTTGATCATCGCACAATGTCGTTACTGTGTACAATGTTCTTCTGTTTGTACTCACTTCACTCAACATCAGTCCATGCAAATCCAGGTTTTTCTGAAATTTGCCCACTCATCATTTCATATAAAACAATAGTATTATAATGCATTCATATACCACATTTTGTTCAGCCATCCCCAATGGATGAGCATCCCCACAATTTCCAATTCTTTGCCATTACAAAAAGCTGCTACAAATATTTTGTATATGTGGGTCCTTTTCCCTTTTTATGATCTCTTTGGGATGCATACCTAGTAGTGGTATTGCTAGGTCAAAGTGTAGGCACAGTTTTTAGCCTTTTGGCCATAGTTCCAAATTGCTCTCCAGAATTGTTGGATCAGTTCACAACTCCATCAACATTTCCTCACATCTTCTCCAACATTTGTCATTTTCTTTTTCTGTCATATTAGACAATCTAGTAGTTATAAAGTGGTACTTCAGAGTTGTTTTAATTTGCATTTTTGTAATCAATAGTGATTTGAGCATTTTTCATATGACTATAGATAGTTTTGATTACTTTGTCTGAAAACTTCATAAGTTTTGATCATTTATAAATTGAGGAGTGGCTCTTATTTTTTATAAGTTTGACTCAGTTCTCCATATGCTTAAGAAATGCCTTTATCAGAGAAACTTGCTTCAAAATTTTTTTCACACTTACTATTGGCAACTGTATTTCGCTTCGCCCTATTCTCACCACTACTGTTTATTCTATTCTCTCTCTCTTTTTTACCCTGTCCCTCTTCAAAAGTGTTTTGCTTCTGACTACCCTCTCCCCCAATCTACCCTTCCTTCTATCACCCTCCATCCCCTTCCCCTTCTGTTTTCCTGCATGAGAAAATATATTTCTATACCAAAATTGAATGTTATTACCTCTTTGAGCCAATTCTGATGACAATAAGGTTCACTCGCTCTCCCTCACCTTCCCCCTCTTCCTTTCCACTGTAGAAGCTTTTCTTGCCTCTTTTATGTAAGATAATTTACTCCATTCTACCTCTCCCTTTTTCCTAGTACATTCTTGTCTTATCCCCTAATTTTTTTTGATATCATTTCTTCATATTCAACCTACATATACAACCTGCCCTCTTTCTATGTATACTCCTTTTAACTATCCTAATAATGAGAAAGTTCTTATAACTTACAAGTATCATCTTCCCATGTAGGAATGTAAACAGTTTATCCTTAATAAGTCCCTTATGATTTCCCTTTCCTGTTTACCTTTTTATGCTTCTCTTGAGTCTTGTATTTGAAAGTAAGATTTTCTATTCAGCTCTGGTCTTTTCATCCAGAATGCTTGAAAATCTTCTATTTTATTGAATGTCCATTTTTTCCTCTAAAGAATTATACTCAGTTTTGCTGGGTAAGTGATTCTTGGTTGTAATCCTAGCTCCTTTGCCCTCTGAAATATCATAATCAAGCCCTCTGATCATTTAATGTAGGAGTTGCTGAATCTTAAATTATCCTGACTGTGGCTTAAATTGTTTGTTTCTGTTTGCTTGTAATATTTTCTCCTTGACCTGGGAGCTCTGGAATTTGGCTACAATATTCCAAGGAGTTTTCATTTTGGGATTTCTTTCAGGAGGTGATAAGTGGATTCTTTCAATTTCTATTTTACCCTCTGGCTCCAGAATATCAAGGCAATTTTCCTTGATGATGTCTTGAAAGATGATGTCTAGGCCCTTTTTTCGATCATGACTTTCAAGTAGTCCAATAATTTTAAAATTCTCTGTCCTGGATCTATTTTTCAGGTCAGTTGTTTTTCTGATAAGACATTTCACATTATCTTCTTTTTTTATTCTTTTGATTTTGTTTTATTGTTTCTTGATTTCTCATAAAGTCATTAGCTTCCATTTACTCCATTCTAATTTTTAAAAAATCATTTTCCTCAGTGAATTTTTGTGCCTCTTTTCCCACTTGGCCAATTCTGCATTTTAAGGCATTTTTCTCCTCATTGGCTTTTTGTACATCTTTTTACCATTTGGCCTAGTTTGTTTTTTAAGGTATTATTTTCTTCAATATTTTTTGTGTCTCCTTTACCAAGCTATTGACTCATTTTTTTATGATTTTCTTGCATCCCTCTCATTTCTCTTCCCAATTTTTCCTCTACCTCTCCTATTGATTTTAAAAATCCTTTTTGAGCCCTTCCATCACCTGAGACCAATTCATATTTTTCTTGAAAGCTTTGGATGGAGTAGCTTTGACTTTGTTGTCTTCTTCTGAGTATGTGTTTTGATCTTCCTTGTTACCATAATAACTTTCTATATGAGAGGTGGTTTTTTTTTCTGTTATTGGCTCATTTTCCCAACCTATTACTTGACTTTTAACTGCTTGTTAAAGTAAGGCTCTACTTCCAGGGTGGGGGATACACCTGGGAACCAAGTCTCTGAGGTTTTGTGCAGCTGTTTTCAAAAATACTTCTAGGGACCTTTAAGTTTCCCATTCTTCCAAGGTACTGTGATCTAAGGAGGGGTGTTTACTGCTCTTCTGGCCTAGTCTGTGGTGTGTGAGTGACTACAAGCACTTTTTTCTGCCTGGAACTGTAATGAGGGTTCCTTCTCTACTGCTGCCCCAAGCTCTGCTATGCAAGTGCTCCTCCTCAGCCCAGGCCTGTGACCCAGATCCAAGTATGGGCAAAGCAACAGAATCCTGCCTCCGTGCCAGCAAAGAGACACCTGTAATCTCCTTCTGACTAGTAGTTCAAGCTCATTACTGTCTGTGGTTCCCAAGGCCTTCTCCTGGTTTACTGGGACCCAGTCTGTGTTAGCATGGCCTGAGCTTTACTATGCTCCACTCCTACCCAGGTGTGACAGACCTTTCTTGCTGACCTTCTAAATTGGCTTTGGCTGGAAAAAATTACTTCGCTCTGTCCTTTTATGGGTCATGCTGCTCCAGGAATTGTTTTATGGCATTATTTAAAGGTGTTCAGAAGGGTTTGGGGGAGAGCTCAGGCAAGTTGCTACCTTTTCTCCACCTCACTAGGCCACCTTCTTGATAATTGTTTTTTTAAATATAATTGTTTTTTTATAATCATTTGTAGTTTATTTTATGTATTTAAATCATTATTCTAAGAAAGGGTCTGTAGACTTCAGTAGACTTTCAGTGGGGTCCGGGACACAGAAAAGGTTAAGGACTGTCCTGAGAAAATGAAAAGAGGACAGTTGTGAAGAGGTCCTTAGTGCTAATATTCTGTTTACTGGAGCTATGACCTTAGGCAAATCACTTCTAAACCTCATTTTCCTCATCCATATAACCAGAGACCTGGACTCAATAACCTTAAAGGTCCCTAGGAGCTTTAAACTTTATAAAATCTGGTAGGCCTCAACACTTGGGGCCAGCTCCATCTTGTGTGAATGAAGATGTCACACAAAGCATCATCCTGTATTGCCTATTCATTACTCACACTGGGTGGCATGAAATGCTGAGTAGGTTCTGGGAGGTCAGAAAGCCAGAATTTACTCAGTTATGTAAGGAACTCATTCATCACAAAACCGTATTTCCTAGGGAACCAAAAATCAGTTCACAGAATGTTAGAGCTGGAAGCCTTAGAGATCACTGAGTCCATCATCCTTGCTTTACAGAGGGAAAAACAGAGACACAGGGAAGTTGTGTCTCAAGTACAAAGCAGAACCGAGACGAGAACACAAAGTTCCTGAGCCCTAGTCCAATTCTGTTATATGATCTAAAATCCCTTATATGAAATAAAATCTAAAATGCCATTCTGTGTTCTGGGTTTCCCTCTGGTTCTGACAAACACTCAATCAATAAACGTTGCTCAAGCACCTATGCTAAGCAACTGGGATGCAAAAAGGAAGAAGATAATCCCTGACCTCAAGGGGCTTACAATCTAATAGGGGAGACGACATGTAAATAAATATGTACAAGCAAGCTACATACTAGTTAAACAGGAAATAATTAACAGAGGGAAGGTGCTAGAATTGAAAGAGGTTAGAAAAGCCTTCCTGTAAAATATGGGATGCCAGAACTCACTGTTATTGGAGAAATGCAGTAGCCAAAGGGTTGTATATTTGCTTCTACCAGCCTTAAGAGGTTTAACTATAAAAAAACAGCTAAAACAATTTATGCTGCAAAACCTTGTCATGTCTTCTGTGCACTCTAGTGTCACATGAAGTTTCTAAACCAGTGCATGTCCTAAGTTTTATTTCCCCAATTTTGACATCACACATTCTAAGATTCCTTCCAGCTCTTCCTAGCTGTGACCCTGTGCAAGTAACTTCATCTCTGTGTGCCTCAGTTCCCTATGCTGTAAAATAGAAGCAATAATAACACCTACTTTCCAAGATTATTGGGAAGATCAAGTGAGATGTTTGCAAAGTGCTTAGCGGTGCCTGGAACATAATATGTGCTTGATATATATTTGTTCCCTCTTCTCCCCTTTCCCCTCTGACTTTTTTTAAATATTGCTAAATGAACCAGTTAATCCAGGACTATATGTTCTAACCCTGTGGGTTTGTTTTTCCCCCTCCCTCCCCTTCCACAGGGTTTCATGGACATGGATCTGGCTAAGTTCAAGGAGAGTGGTGCCAACGTGACTGGTTTCCAGTTGGTAAATTACACCGACACCATCCCCGCCAAGATATTACAACAGTGGAAAAACAATGATGTCCGTGATCATACCCGTGTTGACTGGAAGAAGCCGAAAGTGAGTGGTTCTGAGTGTGAGAAAGGAGGCTGCAGATCTTCATTGTCATCCTAGACAGGTTTCATCCTTGTAAGTCTAATGCTATTGTGCCTGAGAAAATCATCCAGATCGTTTTTTCTTCAGTGAGGCTATCTCATAGAGAGGTCAATCGTGAGTTAACTCTTGTTAACTCTTTTAGCTCACTCTTGTAAGAAGTCCATCAAGTCTCAATTACTCATGGACAGCTTAACATTTGTGGGTTAGGAGGCAGAGTGTTATATTGGAAAGAACACTGCAAGAAGATTGAAGTAGGATTTGAATCCAGGTCTTCCTAACTCCCAAGTATGGTGCCTTGTCCACTAAAACCACACTGATTCTTTTGCTTATAAGCTACACTGACAGCTTCAATTTCCTCACCTGAAATATTAGGCGATTGGACCAGACCATCTCTAAGGTTCCTTGCAGCTCTTAAAATCTAATCTTTAAAAGATTCCCTGGTTCCCTTGATTACCTACTTCCTATTCTCAGGGGGCAGTATATCACAGAAGACAGAGAGCTGGCCCCGGGGTCAGAGGTCCTGGGTTTAAATCCTTAGGCCTCTTTTTGCTCATCTGTAAGATGAGATGGTTGAACCAGATGGCTTCTGAGATCCATTCCAGCTCTACATCTATAATCTTGTAATTCAATTAACTCATGGCTGTATAATTTGTATTAGAATAGCTTTCATAATCCAAAACCCCCACACACATAACAATATTTTGTTCTTTTTCCCAGTATACCTCGGCACTGACATATGATGGTGTTAGGGTGATGGCGGAGGCCTTCCAGAGCTTGAGGAAGCAGCGTATTGATATCTCCCGCAGGGGAAATGCTGGGGACTGCTTGGCCAATCCAGCTGTGCCCTGGGGCCAAGGGATTGACATCCAGAGGGCTCTACAGCAGGTGAGGAAAAAGAAAAAGGCTGCTACTGTTCTAGGGGTGGTTTCAGGATTTTAGAACAACATGCAGATAGAATTTCGTTCAGGTAAGAACATGCCATGCATGTTGGAGAAATGTAGTGGCCAAAGGGTTGCAAATTTGCTTCTGCCAGCCTTAATAGGGTTAATAGAAAAAAAAAGCTAAATAGCTTATGCTGTAATACCTTGTCATGGCTTGTACTATTGAAATGTTTTGAAACTTAAAAATCTCAGAGCTGAAAGTACCACATAGGTCATTAAGTCTGATGCCCTGCCTGATGGATTAATTCCCTTCTCCAACATGTCCAGTGAGTAGTCATCCAGCTTCACTTGGGAATTTAGTTCTATTGTTAACAACTTACAGTTAGGAAGTGAGAAAGTAGATTCTTATATTGAGCTGAAATCTGCCTTTCTGGAACTTCCCCCATTGGTCTCAGTTCTGTTCTTTAAGGCCAATCAGAAAATGTTGAATTCTTCTTTCCCAGATCAGCCTTTAAGCTATTTGAAAGGCAACCGTAATATCCCTCCAGGTCTTCTATTCATCATACAAAACACCTCCAGTTTCTTTAACTAATCAATGCTTTCCCTAAAATCTGATGCCCAGAACAGAAAACAGTTCTTTAGACATACTAACTAGGGCAGGCTAAAGTTGAATTTTTGTTCTGGACACTAAATGTCTTTCTCTTCTCCTAGAGAATTTTTTTAAGAATATTAGACAGAAAAAAGCATGAGTAACCAAAGTAATGAATCAAGAATAGGAGAATGACAAGTACTATTATTGGCTGGGCTTGGGATTAGGGGGAGAATTTGGGAGGAGGTACACTCTGAGGGAGGAGATTGGGGATTTTGAATGGGAAGCCAAATTTGGCAAATATTTCTGTTTCATTTTTCATGTTACCACTAACTAGTGCCCATTACAGAGGTAGTCATCAGTTGCTCTTTTAGAATGGAGTGGTCGGGATGAAGATCAGTCAGAGGTATTTATAATGTTTAGTCTGGAGAAGATTTAGTTGATGAGAATTGTGTACACGTATATGATACGCTGTCATGGGGAAGAAGGATTAGGCTTGTTCAGTTTGGCCCCAGAGGGTAAAATCAGGATCAATGAATGAAATTTGCAGAGAAAGATTTAATCTTGATGTTAGGAAAGTTTTTTCTTACAATTAAAGCTATCCAAAAGTAGAAAAGGCTGCCATTGAAGGCAGTGGCTTCTCCTCCAAAGAATATCCTGAAGCAAAAGCTAGGTGACTGCTTCCTGTGTATGTAATAGTCAGAATCCTTATTCAGGTAAGGATTGGACCAGAAGGCTTCCAAGGTCCCTTCCAATTCCAGGATTCTGTGATTGAGTTTCTGGTCTCTATCAAACCACACTTGATGGACAATCACCTCTGTCTTTAGGTGACTGTACTCGGAGTCTGTTCACAAGACTACATTTATCAGAGGTAGAGCTTGGCTCCCTAAGGAGGAGATGAGGGTTTTTGAATGAGGAGCCAAATTTGGTAAATATTTCTGTTTCACTTTCTTTCACTTTCCATGGTTCCAGCAACTATGGCCCCTAGGGAGTTCAGCAGCAGCTGCTCTGCATTTCTACTGTGATTGACTGGGTTGCATTAAGTGATAGAGAAAATGTGGGTATGTCCTCTGGGACCAAAAGGATACGGATCATATATACAACGACCACGCTGATCAAGGAAGAATTTGTTATACTAAGTCACTGTCCATCATAAAATGAGATAGAAGAAGCTAACATAAGTCATCCCAGCCATCTCTTTGCTGCCACACTGGACTGCTCCTGAATCACCACAAACTGATGTCTACTTTTTCAGTTTTTTTAAAGATGCTCTCATATGAATATAGAGCTTAATTTGTGATCTTTGAATTGGAAAGTTAGTTCAGTGAGGTAGTAGAAAGATCACTAGAGTGCAAGTTCTGAAGAAACCTGGATCCAGTCTCACCTCTGCCAGTAACTAGCTGTGTGACTGAATAATTCATTCAAGGTCTCTGATCCAAAGTTTCCTTCTCTGCAAAAATGAGCTCTGGCATTTTACATTTTCAGGTCACTTCCAGCTCTGATATTCTCTGTTGTAAAGTCCTTTGACCTGTGATATTCTGTGTTCATTGATCTTGCCCAAGTACCTGGAGTGACAGAGTTGTTTGCTTTCGTCTCCCAGTCTAGGGTTCACAGGCCATAAAACACAGACCACTTGTGGCAAGTGCTGACCATTATGACATCCCATGCATGACTGTGACCTCTCCCCATTCAATTGTCTTACTGGCCTCATTGCTTATGATAATAGCTTTACTCTTATGAAAAGAGAAAGGAAGAACCACCCCGCCTCAGAAATCCTTGACAAATGGTGATCCTGACAGGAGAGCTAACTACACCGCTAAGGGGCCCTATTCCATTTTGTTACAGCTTAAGAAACAATGATCAGAGTCCCACAACACCAGATCACAGGTCACTAAGTCCAGGGGCTCTGGTATCACCATTCTAACTATAATTCTAACATTTAACCAAGATGGAACATATTAAGAAGTTCAGATGGTTCAAAAGACTTATCAAACCCACTTCCTTTGTTCTATTCCTATTGTGACCATTCTATTCCAGATCCACATAGACTGCTGGAGTAGCCTCCAAATAGTCCTTCTTTCCTCCCTTTCTCCTCCCTCCACCCTTTTAGCTGTTGCAAGAATAATCTTATGCACAACTTTCATCATGTTATTTCTCAGTTCAAGTTATTAGTGGCTCCCCTTTGCCTACCAAATTAAGTCCAATCACTTCTCCCTGGCATTCAAGGCCCTCCACAATCTGCTATCAATCAACAAGCATTTTTTAAGTGACTACTATGTTTCAGGTACTAGAAATAAAAAATAAATAAATGAAACATTATTTGCCCTCTGAGAGCATATGTTTTATAGATAAAAGTAATGTACACATAAAAACATTGTATACACAAAGTAAGTATAGAAAACACCTGGTAATCTGAGGAAGAACTGGTAGAGGATCAGGAAGGGAGTCATGTAGGAGATAGCCCTTGAGCTGAGCTTTGAAGGGGGCTAGGAATTCTAAAGGGCGAAGGTGAGGAGGGAGCACTTTGCAGGCATGAAGTAGCAGCCTATGCAAAGGCAAAGAGATGGGAGCTGGACTGTCATGTGCAAGGAACAGTGATAACGACAGTTTGGCTGGACCAGAGAAAGTGCATGAAAGAGAGTAACGTATGATCAATCTGGAAAGGCAAGTTAGAACCAGGTTGTAAAGGACTTTCAATACCAGACAGATGAATTTGTATTTAATCCTAAAGGTAACAGAAAGCCACTATACTTAATTTAGCAAGGAAGTGACATAACCACACCTGTGCTTTAAGAATATCACTTTGACATCCATGTTAAGGATGGATTGGGGGAAAGGAAAACTAACGGTATGGAGAATAATTGTAATGCTATTTCAATACTGCAGACGAGAAGTGTTGAGGGTGAGGTGGTCTGGGAGAGGTGGTCTGGGAGAATGGCTACATGAATGGAAAAGAGGGGGTAAATATAAGAGATGCTGCAGAGGCACAATTCATGAAACTTGGCAACTGATTAGATGTATCAGGTGAGATAATGAGTCAAGTATGACTCCGAGGTTGTGAACCTTTCATTACTGGAGGGATGGGGCTTCCTTGGACAGAAGAAATAGGAATGTTCAGAAGAGGAGCAGATTTGAGGGAAAGATTATTGCTGTTTTTGGAAATGTTGAGTTTTCATTTCCTAGTATAGCTAGTGCAAAATATCTAATAATCAGTTGGTATTGGTGGGGGAGAGAGGGGGTGAGTGTTATAATGCCTACATGTTCCAGGCACTGTGCTAAGCAACAATTTTTACAAATATTATCTCATTTGATCCCCTCAATGACCCTGCAAGGTAGGTTGCATTATTACCCTCATTTTATAGCTAAGGAAAATGAGACACAGAGAGGTTAAGCAACTCAACCAAAGGTCACACAGCCAAAAAGTATCTGAGGCCAGATTTTGTGACACTGGGCCAGGAGAAAAACTGTGCACCAGTCTTTCTAGATGTATAGATCTGAGAATCACCTGTATAAAGGTGAACATTGAACTCATAGTAGTGGGTGAGTTACTATAGAGTGAAAAGAGAAGGGGGCCCAGGACAGAATTTCAGGGTACCTATACAGTTAAAGGGCACAGTGTGGATGATAATCCAGCAAATGAGGCTATCACACAGTTAGGAAAAGAATCTATATTATGAATCTGTAAACATTTACTAAATGCAAGCAGTGATGGGAATTCCTAGAGAATGAAGTATCTAAGAAGAGAAGCAGTCAGGAGTGTTAACTGTTACAGAGATGTGAAGAAGGATCAGCATTGAGAAAGGGTCATCAGTTTTGGCAATTAAGTGATCATTGGTAATTTTGGAGAGAAAAATTGTTGGATCAAAAGCCAGATAATAGTGACTTTAGAAGAGAATGAGAGGAGATGCAGTGGAAGTAATGATTGTAGATTTCTTGTGGTTGTTGTTTTTAGAAGCAGGGCTATGAAAGGAAAGAATGATACAGGATAATAGACTTGGTCTAGTGACATGCCTTTTTTCCCTTTTTTTAAATAAATGCAATATGGGCAAATGTAGGCATTAGGAAAGAAATCAGTAGAGAAAGACAAGAGATAAAATGATGATTGTAAGTACCATGCTTGACAGAGGACATGAGAGGGAATGGGATGAAGAGTACAAGTAGAGGAGTTGGCCTAGGTGGGAAGGGCAAACTCTTTATCAAAGAGTGGAGTAAAAGAAGAGACAATGGAGGATGCAGTGAATGGATTTTGAGATGTAGAGGAAATGAAAAGAATGGCCTCTACTGTTTCAATAAAATATGAGGTCAAGTCCTCTACTAAGGATATGAGAGAGGGGTGCTGTGGGAAATGTGAGGAGAGAAAAGTTTGTAATAGTCACTGTGGTGAGTGTGATAGAAAATCAATTAGAGAAGAGTTA